TCAAGTAGTCATCATGCAAAAGCTTCCACGGAAAGACATTTCAGTCGTGGATGATTGCGAGCCGATGAGCTTGGGGACCCCCCTTGCACGTTTAACATTCCATCCTGGACGGGCTTGCGGCGGATCTGACTCTGGAATATTCATTTTGACCATGCACCACGCCCTTTTTGATGGGTGGTCATATCTGCAGCTGCTCGAGGATCTCCAGGTGATTTACAATGGGGACAGATTGCCACCACGCCCTGCCTTCAATCATGTCATTAACTACATCTCCAATTTGAAGATTGAGGAAGGTCACTCTTTTTGGCGTCAACAGTTCAACGATTTACAAGCAACAATGTTCCCTATCTCTTCCCGGCGGTCAATCTCGTCGCCACATTGGCAAGTCAAACGCCAGCAAATTATCCTGGCGAAGTCGGATATGAACTGGACCCTCGCCAATAAAATAAAATTGGCCTGGGCTCTTGTGATCTCTTCCCAAACTCACTCGAATGATGTAGTATACGGATTAACAGTCTCGGGCCGGAATGCCCCAGTACCAGAAATCGATCGTATTGCTGGGCCAACTTTTGCAACATTCCCCTTCCGCACGCAGCTTGATGACCAGATATCAGTGGAAGATATGTTGATTCAAATGCGACATCACGACGTCTCCATCATGCCATTTGAACATATTGGTCTCAGGCGTATCGCGGAGTCAAGCCCAGACGCAGCCCTGGCTTGTGGATTCCAGAATCTTCTCACCATCAGGTTGCAATCTCTTCAGATTGCTCCTGGCGCCTTGGTTGATTTACCCGAGAACGAAGATCATGACCTGAAATTTGCGTCGTATCCCCTGTCAATTGTGGCCCAGCAGGAAGGCAAATCGCTAGAGGTCAAGGCCATCTTTAATACCGATATTCTAGGACCTGACAGGGTTGAGTCACTGCTAGAGCAGTTTGATACGTTGTTGCAACGAATCCTCCGGGAGCCCGGGGCGACAGTGAGCGACCTGAGAAGTCAGCTAGCTCCCGAGTGGCAGCAATTAGCGGCGATTAACAAAAAGAGTTCGCCCGAACTGCATTGCCTACATGATATTATCCAGGGCTTCAGCGTCATCCAACCAAACTCAGAGGCCGTCTGCGCATGGGATGGCTCGCTCACATATAAAGAATTAGTCTCGTTGGCGTGGAGATTGGCAAGCCATATCCAGTCTTTCCGGTCCCGGTCGGAACCCGGTGCTGTCATCGGAATTTGTGTGGAAAGATCGAAATGGTTCCCCGTTGCCATCCTGGGCGTCATGATGTCTGGAGCCGCCATGGTTTTGTTAGAACCCAATTTCCCCGTGCCACGTTTGCAGCATATCTTGCGAGACGCCGGGGCACGGATGATGATATGCTCTCTGGTATTCCAAGAGAAGTGCACGGGCTTGGTCGATGATATGTTGATTCTGACTCCCGATATCGCGACCCGAGCGGACTACGATACTTGGACTCTACCATCGGTGTCTCATCAAGATCCAATGTATGTTGCTTTTACATCCGGGTCAACCGGTGCCCCGAAGGGTGTTGTGATCGAGCATGGCATGGTATATTCGATGCTCGAGGCACATAAGGGCGTAATTGGCGCATCAAATGGGTCCCGAGGCTTGCTTTTCGCCTCGCCCGCGTTTGATATATGCCTTGCCGAGATTGTACTTATACTCGGTGCCGGAGGCTGCGTATGTGTGCCTTCTGAAGCTCAACGCATGAACAGCTTGGCGAAAACGATGACAACCATGCAGGTCAACATGGCTATGCTGACTCCTTCTGTGGCACGCACCCTCTCGCCAGCTGCGGTCCCTTGTCTCCAAATTCTGATTCTTGGAGGAGAGCCGCCATCAGCCTCCGATTTGGCGACATGGGCTTCACGGGTCCAGCTGCATCAATCCTATGGGCCAGCCGAGTGCACTATGTACACGACCACTACACCGCCATTGACTCCCAGCTCAGACTTGGGCAACGTCGGATTTTCTCCAAACGCGTCATGTTGGATCGTTGACCCGGACAACCATGATGAGCTTCAACCGGTTGGCTCCGTGGGAGAACTATTGATCGGTGGGCCGATTGTTGGAAGAGGCTATATCAACCGAACCCAGGAGTCTGCAGCGGCCTTCATTCGTGATCCTGTCTGGAGCGAGAACTTCCCCTTCTTACGAGGAGACCGACTGTACAAGACAGGAGATCTCGCTTCCTTGAATGCAGACGGGTCCTTAACTTTGGTCGGCCGAAAGGATACACAGGTCAAGCTCAATGGGCAACGGATTGAGGTGCACGAGATTGAGCATTGTGCTGAAAAGTACCAACATGGTACCGCGGTCATTGCGGAATTGATCAACCCTGCCGGCATCCTAAGACCTAGACTTGTCATGTTCCTCTATGATCCAGCGACGGTAGAAACAACGGTGGGCATCAACTCTGCTTGTCTTGAACATCGGGAACTATTGCTCCCACCGTCAACACAAAATCAAGCTTACCTTAAAGGTGTAAGACATCATCTCAATCAACATCTTCCACCGTATATGATACCATCCCTTTTCCTTTCGCTGTTCCGTCTACCGCTTAGCCCAAGCGGCAAGGCCGACCGCAAGACACTACGCCAGATTGTTTCGAAAATGGATAGAGAGACATTGGAGATGTATATGGACAATCCGGTGGCAGAGAAAAGGGAACCATTGACAGAGCAAGAGCGATTCGTCCGTGCAAGTTTCGCCACAGCCCTGTCATTGAATGAGGAGGCTATTGGCATGGACGATAACTTCTTCGCTCTCGGAGGTGATTCTATTACTGCCATGCGCGTTCTCACTTTGTGTCGGAGAAGGAACATGGCCATCTCGATGCAGGATTTTCTCTCAAAGAACACTGTATCCTTGTTTTGCGCAAATGCCATTGTGATTCAGGGCCAAACTGCTGTTGATTCCAAGCGCCAGAAGGTCCTGAATTCCGAAGACTCTGTTCGAGGGAAAAATCATCTCGTCCAGTTTGAGCACATCGAATACCAGCTGGACATGGTTCGATCTCGGTTGAATTTGTTGAAATCGGATTCCATCGAGGAAATCTACCCCTGCTCTGACGCCCACAGTGGGGTGTTGGAGCTCTATACGTCCAACTACACAAGCACTGCAATTTTCGAAATTTGTTCCACCGAATCAGTAACTCCGATACAGGTGAGCAACGCTTGGGATCAACTAGTACATCGTCATGTCGCCTTGCGTACGGTTATCATGAAAGAACCAAAGGTTCATGCAGATTACCTTCATGTAGTCCTTGGCAAGGGACCAGCTCAAATTCTTGCTCTTCCTTGCAGCAAAAATGCCCTTACAGAACTCAAAAATCTCGAACCAGTCCAATCCTGGGGCCTGTCACCACCACACCGGTTAATAATCGGCCAGGACCATTCCAGGGCGGTCTTCATAAAGCTGGAAACGGGCTATGCCTTGATCGACGCCTTTTCTATGACCATTCTACTAGAAGAGCTTTCTCTCCTCCTCCAGGGTCAGCCCTTGCCAGAGAATGGAGTCTCGTACCGTCAATATCTGTCCCATTTGCACAGCCAGTCATCTGCAGGAACGCTGCAATACTGGACACAGACGCTTTATGGAGTATACCCTTCCCACCTACCCAAACTCCCTGCTAAACGGTCCCCTCTGCCTGAACCGCGCTCGCAGAGCCGCTGCCTGCCATTCGCGCAATCAAAGCGTTTAGATTCCTTCTGGCGTTCCAATCATCTCACCATCACCAATGTTTTCCAGCTGGCATGGGCCTTGACTCTCACCCACTACACCAATTCCCGCGATGTGTGCTTCGGAACCATCACCTCGGGGCGTGATACCCCTCACCTTGAAGTATGGAATATTGTTGGGTCATTTTTCAACATTCTTCCGTGTCGAATTGCAATTGATCCCACGCGCACGGTATTGGATACTCTCCGACGGAACCAGGAGGATATTCAGCGTCGAAACGACCATCAGTACTGTTCCATGCCAGATATAATCCGGAAATCTGCAATAGTGAACTTGGACAAGGACCACCAGCTGTTCAATACAGTTTTGACAGTGCAGAACCCATTCTCGACACGATCATCTACTACAAAGGATGAGAGCAACGAGATCGATATCAAACTCATCGATTTGGACGATGCAACTGAGGTGAGGGCCTGTGGAACTAGGACCACGATCAGACCGACAACTGCTGACTCTTTTAGTATGACCTTTGCGTGGCTATTATTCCCTCCCATTCCCACTTCAAGGTGGAACTACGCTACTGGACGACGACTGCATCTGAGGAATATGCTTCGGATATTCTCGATTGCCTTTTCAACCAGCTGGAACAGATTGTGCATCATGCGACCAAGCCATTGAGCGTCATCACCAGTATTGGATGACAACCATATCTCCCAGGACTTCCATAATTTCTCCTTTTGTTATCTAATTTTCGGCATTGTTCTTTTGATATTTCCACATTTTGGATTCGCAGATATTCCCGAGTCCCGGTCTACATTATTCTCTTAGCACAATCAACAAAACAATATGAGCATGAAATACTGGATAAAGTTGGTTAGGACTTGTCGTCCATGCAAGTCTACGAGTGCTCAAGCATCCGATTCCAAGGCAATATCATATCCTAGAACTGGTCTAAATAATAGAAGAGAAACAACAAAAAGACAACACATAGACAGCCACCAATATCGTGGTCAATGGATGAAACGCCATTCACACCCTTTTCCATACCCGAACACGGTTCTAAGACTGGTTCCAACTCAAATTTTGAGGGAGCCGGTCGCGGAAGGGAAAATATCGAAAAGAAAAATCCATGTACACAAAAGAAAAGGGGAAAAAATGGGAAAAAGACAAATAAAAGGCAGGGGGCACAGGTTGAGGGCATCGGTCCGGACGAGTACCGCCGAAAATCTCAAACAAAAATATCGTTGCCCCATAGTCGCTATGTCATCGCAGGAGAAAATAAACGGAAATCACATGTCCATCAGCAGTCCATCTCCTCCGAGACATTATTTGGTGGAATTGCTTCGATGCAAGATCTGTACATTGGTTGCACTGGTACCACTGCCGACCGATCGTCGTCGCGGGCGAATCTCACTGCCGCTTCCGCTCCTTCGCCGTCGGCCGGTGCTTCGAATCGAGCCTCGGCGTCGTGTCTGGAGCAAACGGACGTTTTCACGTTAGAATTACGCTGGCTGTACATGGGCGGACGCGGTCTCTTAGCAAAAGACAAGTACGAGGGCGATAGGGCCAGACAAAAGGGAAGTAGTTCGCATAGGAATGCACGTATCTGGGCAGCAAAGCAGCACGGATCAGAGATGCACTGGACTTACCGAATTAGGGGTGCCTTCCCGGCTGGGCCGATCCTTGGAAATATCGGGATCATCTTGCAACTTTAGGGAGTTCAACCGCTTTTGGCTCTCGTGAGTCATGGCCTCTACCTCATCGATTGCCTCCGGCACGTCAAGAGGGGGGCTGGTGGTGGGGGAATGCCGTTCTTCCGATCTTTGGCCTGTTGCTCAATCACGTCCCACCGTTCCGAACGAATCTTTTCACGTTGGTCTGCGTTGTTCTGGTGCTCCGTGTAATCGTGAGAGCATTCATCGAAAAGTTGCGGGTTGATCTCCATGAACATCTTCATGGCATTGTAAACCATGCTGTGGATTGTTCTGGGAAAAGAGTCAGTTCATATTTAAGCAGCACATGCAGATCAAACTCACCGGTTCCAGTGTCCTTTCGAGTTCTCGTAAAGCGGCGCAAACATAAGCGGGAGAATTGTCTCCACATTGTCGCTCACAAGATTACAGAAATACTCGTTATTCCAGAAGTACAAAGCACGTTCAGCAACCTGGAAATGAGGACTGGCAACAGACTTGGCCAACTGATTGAACAGAGGCTCCTGTACTTTAGCGAACTCGCCCGGATCCATCACCTCGAAGATATCTTCCACCTCATTCAGGTACATAACCTCCTTAGTGCTATTGGTCTTAGGCCAGAAGCGCAGTAGGCCGAGAACAACCTAGACATAGTGGTTAGTACCCGAAGTAGATTGGAGATGATAATTTAGGGCTTACATCTTCGGTCAATGAGGAGTCTTTCTCCAAAAATTGCACTATGCAGTAGGCCAATTGCGGGTGGTACATGCTGAGACTCTTCACCTTGTGCATGGGTAGGAGCACTCTAGTCAAGAAGAGCTTGTGTTCCTCCTTTAGCGGTAAAGCGAACCCGTTGATGATGGAGCCCAGAATCTCAAGCAATTCGGCGATTCCGTTATGGCGTTCTGTCTCGTACATGAACTGGAAAAAGACGTTGTTGATGGATCGGCGGATATATGACCGCAAATTCAAGAACTTTCCATAGATGCGATGCAGAGTTGTCTTGAGGAAGTCACGTTCCCGGGGATCTTCCGAGTCAAAGAGGTCCAACAACTAGATGTAGTATTAGCTTGTATTAAACATGGAACCGAGCAGCAGGAGACATACCGAAAGCACAAACTGATGGTCGATATAACCCTTTGCGATGTTCGTGTTGAAATCCTGGCTTTCGATGAATCTCAAAAAGAATTCATATACCACCTGGATATGAGGCCAAGCGACTTCCAAGACCGGCTCATCCTCCTCTGGGTCAAATGCCTCACCTTGGGGCGTCATAGGCGGGGGAATAGGACGGAACAGGTTCTTGGCGAACATCTCTACCACGCGGGGGTACATAGGCTCTGTAATGACCGATCGATTGTTGGCAACATAATCTAAGAGTTCGTGCAACGCCAGCCTCTTGATCTCCTTGGACTTCATATCAGCCGTAGGGTCGTTGAAATCGAATATGATATTGCACTGGTCGATCTTTTGCATGAACAAATCTTGGCGCCGGTTGGGAGGCACTTCGTGGAATCCCGGCAACTTCTCCAATTCTCTCTGACGCTGGTCGGAGATGTCGAATCGCGACGAATGTTGGCGTTTTGGGGTCCGGATACCTTCCGAGATGTCCTTAGGAGTTGTCTGTAGGCGATCGAAGACATGGGACTTCCTAGGAGGTGCAAGATCTCCGGGCATTGTTTCGGCGGCACCAGGAGGGGGAACATGCTATGTAATCCAATCCATTAGAAAATTCAAATAGTGAAAGGTGAGCCAACTGGACTTACCGGTGGGCTTGGGCTAATGATGACGTTGGGGGCCGCTGGTTGGCCTTGCCTATTCGGAGTTCCTGGTCCATTGCTTACAGGCTGTCCGGCAGTGCCCGGTTGGGGTATATAGTGTTGAACCGGGGTGCCGGGGTGAGGTGCGCCCGCAGAAGGGGTTCCGGCGGGGGAAGCGTTGTCTGGAGATTTGTTTCGCGAGTCATTGAGAGAGGTTGTAGAGGATGTGGGTGTCCCTTGACTAGGGGAAGTAGGCTGTTGTGCGCTGGAAATTCCGAGGGATTGGTTCTGTGGAGTGGAGTTGGAGTCTTTCTTTTTCGAGGACTTGTTGTCTTTCGCCCGCGACAACTGGTCGTGCTAAAAGCAAGACACAAAATGTTAGCTTATTTGCGAGGTAAATGAGGTAGCACCAGCTGCAAGGTGGAGAAGAGGATAGATTGCCAGAAGTGATAGTGCGGTGAGGTGCACTTGGACAGTATACGCGGGTAACTCACGACTCTCTGTCTGAAACCCTTCATTTTGATGATTATGTAGATGGCCACATGTACTCGGCTATGTTTCTTGGTGCCAGTGCAGCCAGGCGGCGCACTCTAGCCGGAATATATCGAAGGAGCCAACTGAAATAGCCGCCCAAGATAGCCACGAGGGGGGGGGGACAAGTGTTTGAATTGACCTAATAGGAGAATCTCATAAGCGGTCCGAGTCACACAGCATGTAAGACGGTTATTGTGAAGGGAGATAGTTCTGAAATTCTGATATAAAGCCCTGGGAATGCGTGGAGGAGAAGCTGGGGTTCAATGGCAACATCATCAGGCGCTCCAAACAATGTGCAGTCGCAGCACGCGCACGGAGCAAGACGATGATAGGAAGAAAGGGTCAATGCAGGCAGTGGGAGACGAGAGTCCGATCAAACGTACCTCTGTAGATCTGAGTTGGACAATTGACGGATCGAGTGGCAAATTTCTCGGCGAGAGCAGTTGTTATAGGACAAGCTTGGTCGGCGCTGGAGGATCTCCGTGTCGCTTAGTGGCAGGCTGGGAGCGGGGGGTTTGGTAGCACCAGAGGACGGGCACTCAGGTCGCAGCCCACTGCGAAAGCACGAAAATCACGGTCTGACTAGGAAGAGACAAAGTGGACGATGTACAAGAGACCAAGTAAAGATGATGTCGTTGGGTTGTGGAGAGGGGAGAGGGAAGTGGATTGTTGTTGAGGTGTAGGGAAAGGCGGGCTAGTTCTCCTGGCTGCGATGGTGATGGGGGGGACCACGCCCAAGTACTATGTGGTGGACTTTACGTTCTGGCTAAGTGGCCTGGATCTATTCGCCCTTTAATTTGAGACAATGAATTTACTCGACAGCTATATTATTCCCCCCTTCTCTTCTCCTAACATCACTTTGGTATGCTTTTTCCCGCTTGTTTCAAATTATGCTTATGTCATGGCTCACGTGACCTATAAAGGGACTCGAATTTCAGGCAAAGACAGCAACGTCACCAACACCGGACACCCAGGTAACTGACTGACTACCTATTTACGGAGTAGCTAACTGACTAGTTAGTTAGTCAATTAGTGATTGAATGTGTTTGCCTACTATTTAAGTCTGAAGAAGTCAGATGTAGTTCACATGTGATATATCCTTTCGAGTCAAGCAAAGCAGGTCTGTGCTCTACGACAACAATACAACAATAGCTGTGTGAGGCATAACCTTAGGCTGCAGAGGAAATTTCTACTTGAAAGGTCTCGATATTTCCGAAAATCAATCTTATGGCATATCATAAGGTATAGCACTGCTGAATGTTGTCGCGCAAAATAATTCGGAGAAGTGGACATATATATCTTTCCAAAGGACTACATTAGTATTTCTCTCCTTCACATCACCACAACCAACGCGGATAAACACCTATCAGCCATCCTTGCAATCCTCGCCATACTTCCCGATCTCTGTTTCTTTACCAACTAAACCCTTACTTGAATACTGACCGTTACTTGATCACTGGCTCTTACTTTCCTTCTTCATGCTCAACGGTCTTTGACATTACCTCCAATAGTCTTAGCTTCCACCATGGCGGACTTCATCATGCCTCGGATCGCATGTCAGGATATAGACGCGCTATCTTCGGACAAAGAGACCAAGCCCCTACGCGAGTCATGCCACGAAACCATTTATCTGGATACTCTTTGGTGTCTGCAATGTTTTCGCTTCCAAGTCAGCAATTGGAATGATGATAGATACCCCTTTTATGTGATGTGGGGAATTGAAGCCGGCTCGCCACAAAAGTGTTGCGATTGCAAAGAAGCCGGCTACAAATGTGACTGGAGAAGCTTTGACTCTTGCTAAACCTGTGCTTGAAATAGATGCTTACATCGATTGGGATCTTCTACAGATCCCGCAGGGTATTCGGGCCATGTCTTTGAACTGATGGCCTTGATCGAATTCGCGAAAAGATACTGGACCGACAACGGCGGTATCGGCGGTGTACCCATGCATGTACGGGCCCGGTGTGAAGATGTCCCCGAGGAACATTTCCCCGCGTTATTTGAGCTCTTTACTGCCTTTGATGACCTAGTCGAGACCCATATGAAGGCCCATATGCTGACAGGCAATGTCTCTAACGTGAGTTTTGTTCAACGTGTTCTACATTCGTGAGGATATTAATCCTTTACGGTGGGCTTTCGTGATTGTATCACCGGGGTTATATTCACGATTTGGTTTTTTTTTCCGCCAGCGTTTTCATTGTGAGGTTTCCTGTTAATAGCATGGTGAGGCGGCTATTGACCAGGACCTATTTGATGTTTTCCTGCCTGGTTCTGTGGTTGTTTCAGTGCCCTTACATAGCATCTTTTTCCAGCTTTCTGCATCATTTAGATTCTAGACTCTACCAAGCGCAAATGATCCTCATATTTACTAGGCGAAGACATAAGGTTTACCAAACAAGGTCGACAGGATAGGAGATAGCAACATCGGAGGTCAAAATGCACCTCGTAACTAACAGCGTCTACATTAGTACCGCAAAGTTACGAGAAAATATAGAACGCAAAGAGGAGAGACACTAGACTTGGAGCCAAAAATGTCCCAAAAGTTTCTGATCCGTTTATCATTGACCACTCCCTAGAAGTATAGTTACCAGAAAGACAGAAATTGCTCGAACCAACTAATTACATTTGATATTCACCGAGTTTCGTTCAAATCCATACAACCTCATTGAGTCAGCATTAGAACCAGCGATAGTACGGCCATGAGGGCTCTACCCAAGCTCAGGCGTGTGCTTGACACAGTACTATTTTTCTCACTTGTGCTACTAACACCGGCAGCTGTATTTTCCTCAGCATATGTGTAGTAAAGACTAGCAGCTGTCTGCGTGCCTAGACTATCAGCAGCAGTGGTAGTGGGCAAACTGGCCGCCGAGCCCGACGACCATTCTTTTGCGAAAGGGTAGAATCCTGTCGTTTGAGGGTTGGCACTACAGTAGGCGCTCGAGACCCCCATCACGTAACTCTGCGGGAACCAGTGGTAGCCTGTGTAAATGTTAGTTTTTCAATCAAACCAGAGAAAAGCATAGCGCCAATATATTCTGTGGAAAAGACCCACCCTCAATGCCTCCATGTTTTCTGAAACACTCCTCACAACCGGCCGCTGAGTCAAAGAAGGGATATACGTCACAATAGCATTGCTGCTGGACATCCCAATGGTCCGAATACGGCACAAGGCCTGAAAATGTGCCGTTCGTGTTCCAGAAATAGCAATTAGAATTAATTCCCGCTTGTCGTTGACATGGAGCCTCGTCGATCAGATATGTGGGCTTGGGACCCTAGGTCGCGATAGTAGAGTTAGGTAAGTACTCTACGAAATAGTTACCTATTTTACCATCCTCCTTATAATGACCGTCGCTATATTACTTTCCCTAATTAACATTAGTTCGGATACCACTATAGAGGATATAGTATCTATAGTAGTTTCGGGCATATACCCCTCTTACTTAATAGTTTCTATTTTCCTTTTTTTACCACCGCGTCCGTGGTGATATCTCCCGATATAACGATAGTTAACGAGGATGATATTATTAACGTGCCCGGTAGAAAGCTTATCTAGGGATCTTTCCACTACCTCGGTATCATTAGTACCATGATTAACAGGTATACGATCATCTATATTAGCATTGTCATCTTTTTCAGCTTCTGGCCAAGTATAATAGACCCAATAGTAGAGAGCATTGTGGCAATCGGGGGCAGCGTCTTCCTTGCCATTATATACTACGTTGTGCGCGCCCGGCACGTCTACAAGGGTCCTATTGTGGAAGTCTCCTTATAGAGAGTTGTCGCATAGACTTTGAGGGAGAGGCTAATAGTTCATTTTTAGCTTTTCATAACGGGTAATTAAAGTCAAGGTGGTAAACATAAGATATTAGTAACTTTGCACTCCAATTGAGCTATTCTCAAAGACACCAACAACCCTTGCCCGTCGCCTTTGTGTGGAACGGGTGATACGCCTGTAAGTTCAGACTTCGATTCATGGTTTTCAGTACGAAGTGACGCAGGTATCCTTGCTTAAGGCCAATTGGGTCGGTCTACTCTCCATGTTCTTCTATATACAGCCGGATACAATGTTGGACCTGGACTCAACGCACAAGGTCAAACAATAAAAAAAGACGCGTTCAGGACGCTGGTAACTGATCAATACAAAGTAATATACAGACTGTTAACCCCTTCCGGTGAAGTTAACAAGAGCACCTCAAACCTCACTCAAATAATACCACAGCATGAGTGGAGTCCGACATATGCAAATGGCGGTGCGTTTTCAACTTTTTCAAGTCGTTTTCAATCGTAATCCATCCCCTGGATACTTCTTCCCTTTCCTGGGCCGTGGATTCTCGCATCTCTTCGAGTCCTTGCGAAATTCGACCCATTACAATCATGCATTTTTGATGTCTGCCTAGCGAGTCATTGATCTCTCTGACTATCCCGCTTAAGGGATATCCTGCTAGACCCCATAACCCTGATTAAGATTAGCTTGTAAACAATAAGATCACAGAAACATTGCCTGCATGTTCCACATACCTGCTGTCGGCTTGAGAAACAACCCACCGAGTCCTTTCCCGACACCTTTGAGAAGCCCCTTAGCACCTCCGTGCTTAAGACCACGGTGCGGCTGTGTTCCTAGGCCCTTGATACCGAAGTAAAATCCATCTCGGAACTCCTGTACATATGTTAGAATATCTGGCCCTAGACTGGCGCTGGTATGGCTGTTACTACCTTTCCTGCCGCCCTGAGCCCGCTTCGAAGATTGACCACCTGGGGGATGTCGGTTACTGTCGTGTCGTGATATAATTTGGGTGCGTTGTGGAAACCTCTGGCCATGCTCAGTGACAAATCGGTTGGTACCACTATGATTATCTTCAATATTTTCTTGGACATTTGACTTCCGTGTAACGCAGCTTCGTGTAAAATAGTGAATTTAGGTGGATTTGTCGGTGTCATCGAGCTGCTCATTGTCTTGGCCTTCTCGAGCTGGATATTCCTTTTGCGTTCTGTGCTCCGAATACGATCAATGCTGTTGACATCGGTTTCATTGTCCGCATCGGTAGTATCTTCCTGGGCACTCTCCCCTTCTAGGATTTCACCATCTCGCTGTTCCTCATTCTCAATCTGCAATTGCTCGTTCTCATTTTGAATCTGTGTTTCCTCAGTCCCATCACTATTCTCTGGAGATAAATGATCCGGTGAAGAAAGTACTGCCCGACATGCTGCGTGGCGATCAAAATGTTCATGGGGTTGGCGTATTGAGCGAGCAGCAGAAACAATATCATGCACAATCTCTCTGGGAGCATCGACAAGCCCAGTCACGAAGCTCGTAATGACTCCAAAGAGCACCTGAGCACTAGCAGTAAGTGGGTCGGCAGGGTCCAGCAATGTATCATACTCGACTGGACGGTAACTGGAGGCGAATCAGCAAGAAACTCTCACAGCTGTGGTGACTTTGTGGAACAAGACTTACAGCACGAGCATATCTGGGCTGATCTTCCCTGATCTCACTAGAACCGTTGCTGCAAAGGCACTGAGGTTGATTTTGGTATGTTTGAGATGCCAAGCCGCCGGCTGATTCGGGACTATAGAGCATCTGTATGACTGGGGGTCAAGATTTCGATGAAAGCTATTCACCCCATGGCGCACGCCAGACTCTTCCTGCATTTTCAACGCGATCGTCTGTGCTCTCTCTAGAGTACTTGGCTCTAGCGCTTTCGCGATTGCGTTTGAGAGATTCTGCACGTTCAAATTTTTATGTGGTATTGGTGCTGGCCCAGCTCCAGCCCGCGCAACGATGTTTCCCCAGAATTGCTGGTCTCCAAAGAAAGGGACAATTATCGTCGGTCGACCTAGCGCGAGCCCTGCCGCTGTGGTGCCAGCACCACCATGGTGGATAACACATGAAACCTGCCGAAACAGCCAATCGTGAGGGCAGTTTCCAATCATCAGAATATTGTCCGGCACTTCGTCTGCCCCCAGGTTTCCCCAGCCTTTTGAGATAAGAGCCCGCTGTCCGGAATTTTTGACTGCTTCAAATATGGTTTTTGTCAGTTTGGTAGCATTATCAACTACGATCGAGCCAAATCCAATGTATATTGGTTTTGGCCCTGCGTCGAGAAATGCAGCTATTTCCGTTGGTGGTGTGTAGTTGGTCTCTGATAGGAGGAAGCCAAAGCCGCATACATCGATGTTATCAGCCCAATCAGGGGGCTTAGGTAGTAATGAAGGGGACCTGTTTCAAATATTAGAATACTTTTGCCAACCAGGAATATGTTACTAACCACATATACGTATGTGGCACATGTAGTCGGTGTAGTATGCTTGGGGCAGTCATTGTATCCAGGGGTTGGAGTGCCAAGGTATTTTTGCGAAGTGTGTTCAGAATATCTCCTAATCCTTCCCATACCATCATATCGACGATATTGTAGGACACGAAATTTGCGAAAGTTGGCTTGCAGTTCCGGCGGTGAACATTCGCTAACGGGTGAGGAAAAGACTGGGTTGGTGACCAGGGCATCCTATTATTGATTAGGTGTTCAGTATACGAAAGGCGCATAGAGATTACTATATAAGAGGGTCAACTCACGTGAATATAATATGGAGAGGGATGCCCAGTCGTTGGGCGCAATGAATATGGGCAAGGCTAGGAGGGTTTGCTATAATAGCATCCGCCACAAAGGGCCGCTGTCGGTAATCCACTGTCTTACTGAATGGGTCTTCCTTAATCTGGTGAAGGTAAGTCCCATCACCCTTTTCAAAGCAAGATTTCCAACATCCATTGAAGATTTCCTTCATCTCACGGCGACGCCTCTGGATATCTCCGCTGCGTATTGCCTTGAACCCCGGTAAAAGGCCCGGATTTTTGACCATATAAGCCATCAGCTCCTCTGGGTCTCCTCCGATATTGAAGAACTCTAGACCGCTATCGAGAACAAACTGCCGAAAAGCTAAATGTGTGGCCAATCTGACTCGATGACCGTGTGCTTTCAGTTCTCTCCCTAGTGCCACAAATGGTTGAATATCGCCTCGAGAACCAATCACTTGGATGACGAGGTTTAAATGCAGTGGGAAATGCTCATCATTCGTGTAGGGCCGTTCCGCGCTGACAGCGCATTCGGAATCTCGCTCAGAATGTATATCCGCGCGTTGGATGTGCTTCAATAGCCCTCCGAGGTGCGGTTTATGCTGATCGATATGGATATCCACTCGGCCGTCACCTACAACAAAATGTGATCCCGTTAGTGCAAAGTCAGTGATTCTCGCCGGAACATTTTTTACCTAGAATACGGGCGTTCAACCCATCCTCGAAAAATTGCACTCCATCGGGGTCATCTGATGCTCGCTTAGTATCTTCACTCGACCAACCACCCGAGCGATTGATGTCCATTCTCTCGAATGATATTTCTGCAGGATTTGGTGCTAGTACAGTTGCCATGATCGACAGGGGTATGGCGCGTGGGATGGTTAGAGGAATAATTGTGAGATTGACGATCAGGAAAAGCGATGGTCAAGACGAGGCAAGACAAAAAGTCCAACACGTGGCGAGGTCTCCTTGGACTCTCGCACTCTCGCCTTCTCGTAACTCTGACAAACCTAAGTTCAAAATGCCATTCATGTTATGTTTTGGTGGTTAATGACGTCTGTAGACTTCTTACGCCCAAGGTATGTGAAACTTTAGCTTTATGTGAACGATCGCTGGGTCTAGACCACCCGCCTTGCTCGTCACTCAATGCCTAGGTCATTCTCGGTCGGATTATATTTACTGGTAACAAGTAGACCGCGGCACGGTTTACGGCAGTCTGCAGCCGCCAGTGCGCCAGTAGATATTTTGCCCGCAATACTATTTAGGATTTGCGTACATCATACAATTCAAACAGTGGGGGGGGATAAACGTATGGTATTCTTTCTACAGAGACTAATTCTTGCTAAGTCCAGGTTGCCTGGGGAGGCACTTCTGTACCTCTTCGTCCCTGAATCGTGCCCGTCACGGTAATGTGCTCAGCTAGCTTCCGAGCCCTCTTTTAGACACTTGCAGTTGTCAGGATGATCACATGGTCGATCCTTGGCAACCTTCAAAGAAACCGGAGACAAAGAAGTTAAATGTACATCAAGATTCTGGTCCCGCTCCTAGAGTCGACTAGTTTATATCGAGATCTATAAACATTTGAAACTTAGATTCCCTAACGACTTAAGGTAATACGGAACTTAAGAGTAAGGTTTGTATATAGGTATACGTAGCGATCGAAATAATATAATAGAATTTAAGTTGAACTTATACAAACTTGTAAAATTTGCTCTATTAATGAATATAATAAGGAATATTTGTAAAGCCCTAAGGCCCTTCCGGGACTCGAGTATGTCGAGTACTATGTCGTGTCGGTATGTTGCTGCTTAGTGGATTACTGAGCTCTCGCGGCGGGAGCGACATCGACCGCGTCGCTGTTGGGGCTGACTCTGGTTTCCCTCGGATAGGGGAATGTTTAATCCCGCACTACCCTGGTCTCCCACAGTCGGGAACCCAACTGAATTATTAGTCATCACAACCAGGTGCTGATTACTAATATAATCCGAGCGGGGCTCCCGAGGTCTCCTTCCCACTCTTCACCCCAATAACTTCTACTTTCTTCCATCTTTCTATCACCGCGATTAATCTGGTTTCTTCCATCTTTCTATCACCGCGATTAATCTGATACTGATGAAATATCACCATGGCGAGCACATCAACTTTGACCATAAAACGGAGCCGGCGAAAGCGACCATCATTCAGCCCAGTCAAGGCTAGGCAGTCATCCCTCCCACCTCGCGCCAGGTCCGAGTCCCCCCCACCTGTGAAAACTGGGGAACCTGCAATCAACTCAGCGTATTGTCGTGACTCATCCGCCCTCGACTTTAACGAGTTTTCACTGCTCGATGATGATGGATCGACACCATCGTTAGGGGAGAAATGTCATGACTTGCTTTTTGAATACTTACGAGAGCATTTCGGGGTGGAAGACATGTGGGTTATGCAGCCATTCATATTCCTTCGTTGCTCTGAGCGGCCGGATCCCGCCCAACGCCCTTTTACCATATCGGGCTGCTTAGCCTTCTGGCTGGGAATGGATGACCCGCTGCCCACTCTCACTCCTGGTACTTCTGGAGGGGAGACGGAAATAGACAAGTTCGTTCACGTGGACCAAAATCTGGTTCAGGACTTGAAACCGTATAGGATGCCAAAACCAGAAACGCTCCTTATGGTTCTTGTACAACATTTCCCGGAAGCCGCAGCCATCTCCTTCATCTTCAATACCATTATCGTTGAATTCGACGAGGTCGACGAGGATGCGTGGAGAGAGAGAGTCGGGTCCCTACCGTGTTCCTTCGCGAATCTCGCGTTAGAACTGACCTACTCGAATGGATTGCTCGCTAATTCCGAGTGGAAACGGCTTATATCCCCTAAGCCAGCAGATCTGAATACCCTTGTTTCAGACGACTCCGACTATATTGCTGCTACGGGGTTCTTCAATCCTGGAGCGATGATTTCTTCTGATCAAGAGGATGCCGTCTCGGCTGGGGTCTTGGTGGAGAAGGGTTCTGAGCAGAGGCTCACCGTTGCGTGTCACTGCTGGGATCGGGAGTTCGACGAAAAGTTGGATCACCTGGGAGATCCGAATCATTTCCGAGTGCTACAAGCAAACTCGAGGGTCGGTTATGTGACTGAACGTATCGACGAAACCGACATCGGACTTGCCAAGCTGGACGATACTGTTGCGTTTAGCAATAGATTCCTGGATATCGAAACAGCAGCTAAAGTCCTTATCCCATTCACCGGGGTTAAGACAGGAGACAAATTCTTCATTGACAGTTTCGTTACCGGCCGGCAGCGCCTTTTATGTGCCGGAGTACGGGTGCTGGGATGTCCGAGAGGACAGGATTTCCTCCGTGATAGACGAGAGAACCCGCCCGACGGGAAATATGTCATCATGCACCAAGGCATTTATGCCACCAACGACACCATGATTACGACTGCTCCACAACTACGTGCAGGTATCTGTGGCTCAGTTCTTGTACGGCTACAGCGTGCAGGGGAGGAATCGATTTGCCTGGAGGATGGAGAAGTCTGTGGGATTATGCATTGGGCCGATTTGGCTATGAAGTACTCTACGAGCCTCAAATTCTTTTGTTTCGCGGACCCTATGGACCCTTTGATTTCGAACGGATGGGCATGCGTTCCTGTCCCAGAGAAGCGCCCCCGTTCCTCTTCCTAGTTCTGTTAACCACGACTTATCTTTTGCTTCGCGGACCCTATGGGCCCTTTGATTTCGAACGGATGGGTATGCGTTCCTGTCCCAAAGAAGCGGCCCCGTTCCTCTTCCAAGTTCTGTTAACCACAACTTATCTTTTGCTTCGCGGACCCTATGGGCCCTTTTATTTCGAACGGATGGGCATGCGTTCCTGTCCCAAAGAAGCGCCCCCGTTCCTCTTCCTAGTTCTGTTAACCACAACTTATCTTTTGCTTCGCGGACCCTATGGGCCCTTTGATTTCGAACGGATGGGCATGCGTTCCTGTCCCAGAGAAGCGCCCCCGTTCCTCTTCCTAGTTCTGTTAACCACGACTTATCTTTTGCTTCGCGGACCCTATGGGCCCTTTGATTTCGAACGGATGGGCATGCGTTCCTGTCCCAAAGAAGCGCCCCCGTTCCTCTTCCTAGTTCTGTTAACCACGACTTATTAGCTAGCGACTACAAAATTACGGGCAACTACAACCCGCTCGCTGTATCATTAAATATCGTTGATTACAATATGATTTTCTATTATTACACTGATTTTCTATTATTACACAGTAATAAGTAGAGGAAATAAGAAACGTGTACTGTCTGTCAGCTTTATAAAGGTCAGAGTTCTATGCTAGAGGTGCTGGCACACTGGCACTCCGGGATGTAGGCACATACCAAGACTGGTTGAAGATGTGGCTAGAAGACTAGGATCCATCTACGAGCACTTGAACCAATAGCTGCTGACATCAAGAAGACTACTGGCTATGAGACAGCCTCGTTTCCAAGCGCATAGACATCTTGCAAGAATCTCCAACCGTCGAATCGGTGAATGTGGAGACCGGGGTTGGACAAAGTCGAGCAGTTATTTTCGGAGTCAGCAGAGTCAGAAACGCTCCGAGGTAAAATGCACCTCAGCCTTTCTAATCTCTTTCAAGCGAAATCCCAGAATCAGCTCTGAGGATCTCACTATTGCTATTATTTATCCTTCCCACGCTTCCGCCAAAAGACGTCTACATCGGTACGTCTTGCAAGACCAAATTGCAATTCATCGTGGCAATTATGTCTCTTAAACCTTCCAACAGGTACTACAAAGTCGGGGTCCTCCTGTTTCCTGGCGCAGACATCCTCGACTTTGCAGGCCCGATCGAAGTCCTATCCCATGTCTCGCACAACCGAAACCCAGAAAGCCCCGACAGAATGTTCGAAATCACAACTGTGGCTTGCAGCCCCACGATTCGTGCTGCAAATTCGCTTACGGTTCATGCAGACCTGCTTTTGCCAGACGCGGTCGATCGGATTTCAGACTTTCATATCCTAGTCATCCCAGGTGGTCCCCCGTCAGTTTTGCAGCCATTGCTAGAAAACATCACACCAGAGCCTGATTTGATTCGCAAGTTTGCAGCGCTACCTGTTGCTTTGTTATCAGGCACCAGGATTTTGCTGTCGATTTGCACGGGCGCCTTTCTGCTCGGGGCTGCGGGTATACTCGGCGGAATGACTGTTACAACCCACCGTCATGCTCTTGATAGACTTCGAGATATTTGTGCCCAGTTCAATGCTCCGGGGGATCATACTACTACTGTACTGCACAGGCGATACATTGATGGGGGTCTGTTGAAGGGAGACGGTATTCGACTCATCACGGCCGGAGGGGTCAGCTCAGGCTTAGACGCCACATGCTACCTTGTTAGTCAATTGACAACACATGACATGGCTGCACTTGTTACTCGGGTTATGGAGTATGATTGGCGTGAGCTCAAAGAGTGAGCTGCAGGCTTCGCGAACGCTATCTTGTGAATCAAGTAGCAGCGTGGAATCGGAACACAGCAGAGGTGTCACAACACGTGTGCTTAGCTCTGTCCAATAAATCTGAAACTTGGATGCATTGCGAGTCATTGGACACCATGAATAATTGAGGCTTTTCTCATTTACGCTGGGAATATCCTTCCAGCCACCTCATTCTTTGGTTCTACGTGATCTTTGCGAACACCACTGAACGGTTGAGTGAAGCTTTCTGGATTTAAGCTTCTCAGACTCAACATTCAATCTAACGAATCTAACTTCAAACCTTTTACCAAATTGGCCAAGGCTTTTTAGCGAATTCCCTCCATAATTACCTCATTCATAGGATGAAGTAGAGAAGTAAAGGCCCCAAGTTGTACAGGGTGATGGCCATTCCTGTCTGGGATGCCCTAGGTTGAACATAAGACTTGATCTGTTAGTCCGCATTAGGAGTTACAGTCATCGGAACGGTCCTGTCTCGAGGTCAGTGTTCTAGCTGATGCTGTTTTAGCCGATGCAGGTTATATAGCACCATCTGGTTCTAGGTAAAACAACACATCTTATCTATTTCCTCAGGACTCAAGTGAGACCAATACAGTTACCTTCTAATCAAGCTTTTGCCTCATAATTTTTCTGGGTAGATCAGTGCCTGGCTCAGAGTATCTCCCTTGGATTCATACATTCCACATCGAGTCACAATGGTCGCCTTGGCACCGGGTGCGGAAATGGTTCCCACGACATACCACCCTAAGCTCGCTGAGAATGGAATCCCATTCTTCGGCAATGGAATGTCCAATCAGAAATTCAATATGCAGACTGTGGAGATGACGCCTCAATATGACAGTGCCGATCCGGTGACCATTGCCTCAAACGGCAATGGTACTCAACAAAATGTCAACGGATTCACCTCTGAAATCTCGAATACTTTATCGGAACATAAAATGATGGCTATGGAGGTATTGAAGATCATCGAAAGCTATGGTGTCGACTTTGAGAAGGCCGGTATCTCCTGGAAGGGCTTTGAGTCGTTTGTTCCAATTGTCCTGGAGCAAATCGCTAGACAAGAGCCCATCCGCATGATATTGCCCGCGTTTCCTTTCAAGTCGCCTAATGCGCGCAGTAAGGTGCTGGGTACTATGCCCGACCTTGGGGAAGAATTGGCATTGGCCCATTTGAATGGGCTTTGCCAAAATATCGGTGCAGTATACGCCCCTGGTGCCGATATCTACATCAGTTCGGATGGGCTGGTATACAATGGTAAAGAGCATAATCGAAATAGTCTTCCCAGCTGAAATACTGACATATGTTAGATCTCCTGGGCGTCCCCGATGAAACCGTTTGGGATTATGGGGAGGCCCTGCGAAAAATGGCCGTCGAGAAAGAGCTCCATCATGTCAAATTCATTCGCCTTTTCGAACTTCTCGAGCATCCATGGTTCCCATCCTCAACTCCGGAGTCCGCAAAGGCATTTTATCTGGCCCACGCTAGTTGTCTCCGCCGAGAACTGATGTACACCTTTGCTGACCCGAGCTTCGATGCGACGGAGGCGATCAAAACCGACAATGATACATGCCTAACATACCGGGGCTACATTAAATTTCTAACCAAGGATCTGGCTCATCTAGAGGAGAAGGATAAATCCATGTCAAAACGCGCTCGGCAGGCGCATATTGCCGAGACCGCACGGCAAATGATCATTCGGGGCAAGATGTTTGCGGCGGCCATCAAAGCCAACCGCAAAGATTACGTACGACTGTCTATCCACGAGTCTGCAGGCGAGAAAAAGCTTTCTATCTCGCTTGTTCCACAGATGCGAGGAACACTGGGTCATACGCCTTGGCACTCTGTTGTGGCTGTCGGACTGGATGGTTTATACCGCATGGTTCACGCTGAAGATGTACGCGACACGCACGACCTTATCTATAAGAACGGACAACCATATTTCTTCCGTGAAAGGTCGAGTCTCTTTGACTGGACCGAGGACGGCTTATCTGTCAAGTTCGAGCATCTCTATCCCTGCGGGCTCATCATCCGCCCCGCCGATATCGACAATGTCAATCCTCCACCGTCAATCCGCTCCATCCCCATGAGAAAGGTCCGCCAGCTGTCGAATGGCATGTCCCCAATTGTCCTACGTGGATTTTCCGAGACTCTAGAAGAAGATCTCTACGTCCAGAAGGGAGAAGAGCTGGGCACTATTCTCCCGTGGAGCTTTGGTATAATCCAAAAGGTACGGGACAACGGCCGCTCTGACAAAATGGGCAACAATGTGACCTCGAACGAGGCTATGCCGATGCATTTTGATGGGATGTTCAAGTTCGACGAGATCACCGACCCAGAAACAGGCGAGATGAAGAAAGTCCAACACCCACCGGGCTATCAGTTCTTCACTTGTCCTGCTACTGCGCCAAAGGGCAATGGGTATACCTTGTTTGCGAGCTCCCGGTTGTTTTTCCGGTACCTACCTCTCCCATGGTCTGCCGAACGTCTCGAAAAGATTACCTGGGCTATGGACAACGATGGGTTCTGGAATGCAAAACTCAAGAATCTGCCGTTGATCGTCAAGCATCCTATCTCTGGTCTTCCGTGTCTGCGTTGGCATCAGCCGTGGGACTCAACCAAGACCAAATTCTCGACCTGTGAGGTTTCAATTGAGAATGACGATAATGATCTAGCTCAGGTTGTGGATCGCATCACATATGACTATAGAGTTTGTCTTCGCTTTGGTTGGGAGAAGGGTGATCTGCTGATTAGTGATAATACTGCCATGCTGCATACTCGCACTGGATATATCAGTAACTGTGATCGGGAGCTGTGGCGAATTCACTGTGACTGAGAATTTCTTATGTGTCTTTGCTTTCAATATTGTGTGCTCTGTTATTCTTTTCTGTCCATGGTCACTCGTTTTCTTGCTCTCATGTTTGGCTTATGTTTGGTGCAAAGATATCGAGTATTCTGAAGCAATTACACAAGTCTTCAATACAATATCCAATAGATTTCGAGTCTGTGTCTGTGGAATTCCGTACTTGGTCGGTTAACCTTTAATTCTTCTCTTTTGCCATTTGATCTGGCCAGTTGCGTGGAACTATGAAGATAAAGACCGTTTTTATTAACTCTACTATTACCTCATTATGTTCATTGGAAGTGTCTTCCATATTCAATCCAGTTAGGGTGGTAAGTCTACCTCGAAGTATCCTCATTTATATAGTCAACTTATCTATTCCGGACCACTATTATCCGGGATACACTCCATAAGCTTTCACTGTCGGTAAATCTAGAAGAATTGTTCTCTAGATAGTAGACATCAAGATATATTCACAATTTATCCATGCCCATTCTTTGTGTATATCCCACTATCGGCCCCTGCTCTACCACTTCTATCTTTATACACCGCCACACAGACTCACATCATCGTAACAGGAAACGCTCCCCCTGGGGAAACTGAATTTGCCATCTTGTGTAAAGGACAAGCTTGCAAATATGACCCCCCGCCCATCCATGGTTTTGAAGCGGAGTACGCAGGAGGCCCAGGGTGTATATTTTGAGGATAACACAGACAACCCAGGCTCTGGGAGTCAGACTGCTGTGCTGCAGGACCATTATTTGGCCCGGTATGACCAGAACCATATTGATAATTTGGAGAAGGGAATACAGCCATAGACGCCGATGCTGGAGACTCTGGGGGAACCAAAACAATCACTTTGTATTGGGGAGACATGGTGTTGATGACCTGGATAATTTGTGGTAATGCCTGTTCTACTTTTTGTCAGTTTCTTGGCTCAGATAATAACTCATATACCATGCAGTTGGAGTACTGACCAGTTGCAACGTAGTACAGCGGCTGATTGGGCGCTGCTGTAGACAAAGAGTCTGGTACTAACGTCTCCGGTGTACCTATCATTCCCCGGTACGTCTCCCCACTGACACCAGAGCTGGGTGGTGATGTGCTATGGTCCGGCTGTACTGGAGCCCTTGTTATGGGACATATTGGACTTGCTTCACTGACTCCAGTAAATTGGGATAGGTCGCCAAGATACGCCTGTTGTGGGAACGTGTTGAAGTCGTTTGGCCATGATTGCGAGAACGGTGGATTTGACGGCATGAATGAGGTACATTGGTCTGGGATTAAAGAGGAGACACCACGCGAGGTAAAGACGGGCTCAGTCTCCGAGTAAGAGGAATGAGACCTCGGGAACAGCGAAGGGTTATATACCTGATCCCATCCGTTTAGAGCAGCTGCAGCTCTCAGTTCGTTGGCGATGACGCGATCTTGAAGCTTTGCAATGCGTTCCCTAATCTTGCGACCTAGGCTCTGTCAGTTTCCAACCCGTCGTCTCTATTTGGGGCAATATCCTACGGTGGTTTCTTTGGGAAAGGCGGTTTTGCAGTCTCCTTCTCTCCAGTGGATCTTGTGTTTGGCTGAGAATATCATCCTTGGGACTCATAGACTGATCTTCCATCTTCATCTTGTAGAGTATTGTTTTGTTACGGTCTTATGGTCTTGAGGGATATTTTCGGGCTCGGGGACGTTGCATATCTCATATAAATCTCGTCAGCAGAGGCTCCGAGTTGATATCCAGCGCAGGAACTCAGAGGGAAAAGGCCCCTCGCCGTCAGCCTCCCTTGGCTTTATACAGGCCGTGCGCCCACGAGGGAAAGTCACGCCTGATCTCACTGTGTGACGCAACTTGTACAACGGATCTTCGGTAATCAGTGATTCGGTCTGAAAGCCACTGGTTCAACCTCCGCCTTTTCAGCCTCGTGATGCTGTTTTACCTGACTATGTCAAAATACCTGCCTTTCTCAGCTTGCCAACCCTTTGCAGAAAAACCTCCTGTGCCGACTCGCGCATTCTTGGAGAAGGTTTCATGATGGTCGCACGAGGGGGTGTAATAAGAGGTTATCCTCGGCATGGGCATGTGCATGGACATGGCGCTGCCCTGAATTCTCTCATTCCTTGGTTCCAGTGGTTTGGGATTCGCCACACCCCATGAAACTCTCAGCTCTGATCCATCTCACTGGCTCGAAAACTCGCTTGTCAGAGCCCACAGACTAGTTTTAGACTCCTTGACGTGGCAAAACCGTCTTACCATTCCCTCAGTGGTAACTTACTTGCCCCCGGTACTTTGGATAATTATCCCGCCTACTTATACTTCAAATTACACGTTGTCGTCAAAGTATCTTCTTGTAGATTCGGACATCTCCGAATTCAGCTTCTATATACTACCCGATTACATGGCCCACATGGCAATGGTAATTGTCATTATCTGATGTTCAAGTTGGTATTTAATCAGAGAGACGATTTCCTATTGGGATTTATCTGTCTTCAGGCCGACAGCGGCCAACAGTTCACAGAAGACAGGGAGGCCAGGCTATGGTGACAGGCTACCAGTTGCGAGGGAAGTACAGCTAGTGCAACGTTCAATCTGAAGTCTAAAAATAAGACACGTCGTGTATTGGCCCCCTCAATCCTGCAAGAACAACGAGCTCACGCTGGATATACTCCGGGTTTGATCCAAACTGCCAGTTATCTTATATATTTTCTTACTCTGGGGTTTGGAGAGGTCACATTACCTTCTTGGGTAATTTCAATTGGTTTGAAAGTCCGAGGATATGGCAACGAACACCTCCCTAAGGAGTCATTCATGTAGTAGCGTCATAGACGGGCTGATTTCCCATTCTCGGTCTAACAGCTCAGAGTGTCAATGACTTCTTTCGTGAACATGGGGCACTGCTGTGTGGTGCCACTGTGATCGCTCATTCATGCTTCACGCTCCCTGGATATATGCATGTGAGATCTAGCCGTAGGGACTGGCGGAAGATCCGGTTCGATTTATTGTTGGATTGGATTCTGGAAAGCAAATCTCTCTGTGTAACTGCGTGATGCAGAGAATTGTTATCCCGCAAGTGGTTTGTATGCTCTGTCTGTATTATGAGTCTAGGATATAAATAAATCTGTGCAGCCCTCCATATGTGTAATATAAAGCAATACAGCATAGCATTCACATCATAGTAGAATATATACAAAATAAGGCAATATTTGCATAATGCGACTACAACTAAGGGCGACTATCCAAGCATAGACAACTAAAACCATTGTTCATCAATTCATCAGCCTTGACTTTGTTGGTCATCTCAGCCAGTACGCCAAGGATTCTGTAGGCAGCTGGGCCAGCCAAATAGTACTACCACTCTCTCCGACTCTGCTATCTTCCCTCCTCCAGTCACCACAAGCCTTTCTATCAGAGTAGCCTGATAGAATGGACTCTTTTCTCAAGACAGTGGGCAGCCTTCTCCCATACCATCTTCTCTCTTATGGCGCTCTCCTTGGGACAGAGCTCTATCAGGTACGTCTCTTGTCCCTTGAAGAAACAAGAAATCTCGTGACTCACCATGTCTAGAGCTTTATCAATACAAAAATTTGCTACCAAGTTTTACCAATGAAGGAGTTCATTATCCTCCAAAAGCGCCTTTTCCCCATCTACTTCGGAACCCAGGTCGGACTCACAGCGTTGACGGCAGCAACATACCCACCATACAGCATTTTGTCATTGGTCAAAGATCCATGGGGTGTAGCTTCTCTTTGTTTAATTGCTTTGACGGGATGTCTGAATTGGTTCGTCTATGGACCTCGGACGACCACTGCGATATTGGTCAGGAGGGCGCTACAAGGTAGGTTCTTCGTGAAGCGCCAAACTTGATTATACGGCTAACATAAATTCACCATGCAGGAAGCGAGAGCACCGATGCTGACTCCGATGGGTCGAAGGTGCTTCGGGCTAACCGTACCTTCGCGCGAAATCACGCAATGGCTATCCATTTGAATGCTATTGCTATGATAGCCACCGTATTTTATGGATTCTCGCTGTCTGCTACACTTTTAGCAGGAGCTTAGGCAAATCCTATCTCAGATCTTGGACAAGAACTTTGGTACATGTGTGGCTGTCTACATATTCCTCTTCAACCCAATAGATACAATACCAGCTAGCTAGTCTATAGCAATCTTCTGTAACAATTCAACTAGGCTGAGTCTCTTCCTAAGCATCACATAGTCTGCATTTAATAAGAGAATATAATTGAATGCCGTCATGAGTTATGGAACAAAACTCGCGCGAAGGTGAACCTGCAGAGATCAAGCGTCACCCCGACGGAAACCTGACGGTCATGAGGAAATGAGTCGAGGAATGGCCCAGTCAAAGCGACCACTAGGCCACATTACTGTATCCACAAGTTGCCTCCAAGCTAGACATCCTGTAACCTCCGTTTGTGAGTACCATTTATGGGACTATATTCCTCACCACACAGAAACGTCGAGTGCACAATCACCAAAATGCAAATTGAACACACCAAAGCCACCTAACAGTAGAATCCAGCAGAAAGATGGCCAAAAAAAGGTTACGGTGGACAGTACGACCTCAGCACAGGCGTGTTGACTTCTGCTGACACCTAATGCATTAGGGTGCGGCGCACCAAGTAGACACCTAACTCGCTATATAGTACCAGCAAGAGAGTAGCAGACCCCCGTTTCAATCTCTTTGGCTCTCGTTTCTACCAAATCTATCAAGCCTATGCCCAACATGGCCTTAGCCTTATCCTCCATACTTCTCTCCATACTCCTAATCATCCTCCTCCCACCTCTCCTCTTCCTAACCTGGTACCTCCATGTCCCTCGAACACTGCCAAATCTGCCCAGAATTCCAATCTACGTCTCAATTTTGGGGTTATGGTCCTCAATGGGCCAAGACGAGATCTACGAAAGATGGTTCAGGGCTCCACTGGAGAAACACGGTGCCGTATTAGTCTGGTTCGCTGGACGATGGAGTGTGCTCGTTTCACGACCGGATTGGTTGACTGATATGTTCCGCAATGAACACATATATGCGAAAGCTGGGAGCCAGATTAAGATTCCGAATGCTGTTATTGCGACACTTGTTGGTGATAACATCATCAATGCCCATGGCGAGAATTGGAAGGTTTATACCGGTATTATGAAGGTCGGGTTGCAGAAGAAGGTTTTTGAGACAACGTCCTTGCTGAAGCAGTCGAGGAAGCTGGTGGATGTTCTAATCGATCTGCAGAAGGAGGTTGGAGCGAATAGAGGAATCTTAATTATGGCAGACGTACAGAAATGGGCTGTGGATGTGATGGGCGAGAACTTCCTGGACTTGGATTTGAAGGTATCAAGTCAACCTTGTCATGGCCTCCCTGCAACGAGCATTCAATCTCTAATAGCTGAAAACTGAAGACTGAAGACTAACCCACACCAGAGCCTAGGCCAACCAAACGGCGCCGTTCGAATCGAAGCCCTCCAATCTATTATCAAAGCAACCCTCTTCAAACCAATGTACTTCAGCTTCCCGGACCTCGATCAATTCCCCTGGCTATTACCGTCACGCAAACGTGCCTACAATACAATGCGTGAATTCGACAACCGCCTCTACACAATGATAATGACAATGCTTCAAAGGCGCACGGAAACTAATCCCACCGAATCCGAAGACATGGTCTCACACATGCTGGGCGAAGCATACACATCAGGCCGCATAACCGAGAAACAGTTCCGCGACAACCTAAAGATAACATTCCTAACCGCACACGAAAACGCCCAGCAACTGGTAACCTCGATGTTCTGGCAGCTGGGCACTCGAGTCGATATCCAGGATCGGCTACGGGAGGAGATCCTCGATACGGCCAAGACTCACCCGAATCCATCCCAGGAAATTATAAACAACCTGCCGTACCTAACGGCCGTAGTGCTGGAGCTACTTCGTCTCTTCCCGCCTGTCTGTCAGCTCATTAATCGCGTCGCGTTGCGGCCGGCGCTGCTGGGTGGGGAACTTCCCATTGCGAAGGGTACATTTGTGGGGTGGAATGCGTGGGCGGTGCATAGTAACCCGGATGTATGGGGTGAGGATGCGCGCGATTTTCGGGCGGAGAGGTGGGGGGAGAGTGTTGAGGAGATGCAGGGGCGGTTTCGGAGGGAGACAGTTCGAGGAACGTATATTCCGTTTAATGCGCATAAGCGGAAGTGCCTTGGGCAGGGGTTTGCATTGTTGCAGGTGAAGATTTTGTTGTTTGTTTTGCTGGGAAGGGTTAGCTGGGTTGTTGATCCTGCGTATCGGTTGAAGATGACGCCAGTAAGTGGTTTTCTGCTAGGTCTTGATGATGTATGCTGATTTGTACAGGGTGGGATTCTAGCACCACTGGGTTGTCGGGTTATTTTGACCAAGTTGGGGTCTTCGTGAACAAACAGAAGTAGACTGGACTGCTTGATGAGTGCTCGGTGGGGTGATCGACGTGGAATGAAGCGCGATAATGAGTGGCAATCGACTAGAATGACGCAATGAAGCACTCTATAAAATCAAAGAAGCACGAATCGACGTCCAAGTACGAACAAATCTTGAAATGTAAGAGTTCAACGTACTGACACAGCTGTCGTTGAAACAATGCGAAGCTCGGGGAAACGAGTGGGGCTGTTCTCGGCCCCGGACTATGTCTTTAATTTTGACCGCCTAGCTTACCGCCTGTGTTTACTTACTTACTAATCAACAAATTACAGTCACCGTACAAAACTAAAATATATACAGTGACACAGCAAAAGTATTTGGAACACCCCTGGACCCACTTCACTGACCGCCTATACTAGATTTTACCGCCTACCATAAACGCGTAGTAAGAAAACACGCTAAGATGCGTGCGACGCGAGTTTTGGCGGAGGTTTTGGACTGGCAGAATCTTATGTAATTAAGGGGGTGTGGGGCTGGTGTTCCAAATACTTTTGCTGTGTCACTGTAATCGTGAAGTTGCTGTGATGTCGACGTATTCGGATGTAAAATTACTTATATTCCAAACTATACTGCCGGCAAAATCAAATATGGTGCTGGTCAAGTGAGCGGGGACCCCTAAATCAAAGACTATATTGTAGACAATATCTATTCTGGCTCGCAATTAGGTATTAACGTATTATTGTGGGTTGTATGTAGTCTCCCGTATTCTGTTTGCCTATCCTTACAAAATAGCCTGCCATTGTTCAGTGATAGCAGCTTCGAATTCGTACATCTTCACGCTCTCTAGAAGCACAAATGATTCGTATCGAAGCCCTCGTTCGCGGTCCTTACGATCGGACCACTGCTCGACAGTCCCGTTCCACACCCCGGCGTAGCCATCGAACAGTGATCGCCAGTAGCAAGCCTCAGCTGCCGGGGTCAGATATCGCTCACGGAAGGTCGTCACACTGTTATTGGCGATGCGCTTGGCGGCTTCGGTGTCGTTGACCAGGGGTTCCATCTTTTCGGCTAAGTCGCTGAAATCGCGCTCGACCTCGACATAGTTTTGGTTGGGACCATCTGCTACCAACAAATAGTGGTGATGTTGGATGAACTGGAGTTTGTGTGCGACAATGACCGAATTGCAGGCCTGTCGGTATTTTAATGAAGCCGAGTACGACCGACCTGAATAGTGCACGTCGTCAGCTGGCGTCCTCGAGTCGCGGGAGAGAAGAAAAATTAGACTCACCTTCGACATGCGCAATAAACATATAATGGCAATGATCTTCCATCCTAAGGACATTGGAACCCGTGTTCCAATCAACCTGCTTGACATCGCCCCACGATTTGTTCCTAGCGGCCTCCATCAACGCGCGTCGCAATTTTGGCGCAAAACTGGGCTTGCCCCGCCAAACCAATTGAGGCGTTTTCTCTGACCAAGGAATATCCCTTCGTTTGATTCGTTCCACCACTTGGTCATACGGCCCCATGTAGTTGTCTCGGTTATCCCAGGCCCAGAAGCTAAAATCCGGCATGAGCCAAACCCCTTCCTCAGTCGGAGTGCGCGAAAAGACCCAAACCGGCCATTCCGAGTTAGTCACATCGTCGACCTTATCTTCCACCGAGAAAACAAATTCAAAGTCGCGTCTAGAAGCTCTTTCTGGGTCGGCGGCCAGCGCACGATGGATTGAGCTCAATGTCCCCAGAATTTTCCGTCGGTGATCCTCCCCCTTGGACCGCGCCGTGACCACGTATAATTGGCCATTAGAGATAAATGCACGCGCCATACCATGTTCGATCTTGATGGCGCCTAGTTCTACCGACGACAAGCGACCATGCGAAGACCAGAATTTGCCACCGCGCGCAACATCCTCGAATAACCCGGGGAAGGCAGCTTTGCACTGGCTCTTGTTGAGAGTCTCATTATGACCGTCGCGGGCGTATTCAAAGGACCAAACGGGGGACCGGTCTGTTTGTAGACCGGGTTCTGGGCAGGTGAGGCATGTCGAGCACTGGAAGGTAGTAGAGGATTCGCAGGCGCAGTGTCCGGCGGGGATTAGCTGGGTGAGAACAGGGTGAATGTATTCTCGGTCGGAGTTCATGCCAAACCAAATGACGATGATGGCGCTGAAGCTAAAAGCGGTTATGACGCACAGAAGGGACAAGCCGCGTCGCGGGCGAATAGGAAATGAGGCTGTCATGGTAAAGATCCAGACTGGCACGGCATGATCTGGAAGTGTCTTGAAGTTTGTCTGGAGGGATCTGGAGGGATCTGGAGGGATCTGGAGGTGTCAGAAGGTATGCAGAGGAATTGTCTAAAGAGTGTTCAAGGCAAGAAACAAGAGAAGGGGGCCGATCAAGGCAAACCCTGAAACATGCCCCCAGAAATGGCAGTGATGCGCAACTACGGACGATCGCCGCTAAAACGCCCCCCGTTCGGGCGGATTGGCGAGCCTCAGCCCGACACCCAGTGGGGGCAGCGGCGTCATCACCTGTTTTTGGGTTTTTAACTGCGTTATTGGGGATAATCGTCCGATATGCATAGAAGAGACAGACAGTTAAAGAGAAGAAAGAGAAGAGAAATTGCCAAGACACCAAGTCACCCGTCTCACCGTGAGCCTTTTCCTTGTTGATTTTATTTGGGGGCGATAGTCTCCGTATAGTACAGCATAACAACATACTCTGTTCTGTTGATCTATACTAGTACTTGCCTCTAGTGGATAATAGCCGGGACGCTACGCCGTATAAAATATAGCTTCAAAGGCTAAAGTGTGAAGAGGGCTCTGTTTGAACTACCGTTTCTAGTTCCTCCATCAAACTAGATACAAGTATAAGGAATGTCCCTAACAATATCTGTTTGATCATCTAGTATGAGATCCATAAAAAAAAGCAATTGCCCCAACCCCTAGCCAACTTTCCCTGGCAGAAACGCCCGCTGCAATGCATGGAACATAACGCAAAATTTCACCCGAGGAGGATTCAAAAGCCCCGTCATTGTCTAGAGTGACTCCGGCCATGTCGTGTCCCCCGACTGCGGCCACTGGATGGAGCAGCCGGCTCATTGGCATCCATATCCGGGGTAGCAGGTACTGCTGGTCGACGTTGTCGGCTGTGTCGTACACGGTCAAGAGCTCGGCGCAAAAGGCCGTCAGCTTCGTCGTCGAGATCCATCTCAACATTTTCATCTTCGGCCGGGGCTGTGGCGACATGGGCCACCTCCTCCGTCCATCCTTCCACAAAGGGCTCCTGACGCCCACGCCGTCGAGACATCTCTTCCGGGGCAACTCGCTCTTTCCCTTTATGTTCACGGGACCGGGTAGATCCCCGGCGCTTGGAGGAGGCTGCGCTGGCTTCTCGCATACTCTCCTCAAAAGCCGTGTGGTCCCTTTGTCGCCCCTCCAATGCCCAGAGCTCAAGTGCACGTGAAAGTAATGTACCAGCCACGCCTGCACCCCCGGCTGCATCGCCGCCACCACTCGCTCCAAGTACACGTACAGCCTCATGCAAGGCAGTCACCGCGTCCGTGGTTCGTCCCAACTCCAGTAATACAAGGCCACGAGACGTATGAAGAGAACCGGTCAGCCCGCGATCTTCGTAGCCCCCAACCCCAGATGCGGTAGCGATCGCCGCTGAGCCACCACCCAAAAAAGGCGAGTAGCCCATGCTGCTGCCTCCTGCGCCCACGCGAAGACATTCATCGAATTCACGAAGGGACTCGGACAGACGGCCCATGCGACGAAGGGCATGACCTAAATTCGCACGTGTAGCTACCCAGGCACTGGGTTCGCAGTGGAGAGAAGTAGCTAGCGCCAGTGCTTGCCCAAATAATTCGACCGCGCCGCTAAGATGATTCTGATGGTAAAAGACCACTCCAAGCTCGTTGAGAACCAGTGGGTCCCCACCAACCGCGGATACAATCCCCGAGGGATTAGGCGTGAGGGAAGGCACAGAGCCGGGAGCAGCTCCAGTCGACATAGCGTGAGCAGCACATAGATACTCGTGCGCCAGAGACATATTATTGAGAGCGAGATGCTGCATTCCTAGGAACAGTTGGGGGAGGTGGCTGCCCTGGAAAAGTCGAGCAGCAGTGCTATATGCTGCGATAGCTTGGTCGTGTTCACCCTCTGCGGCAAAGGTGTGCGCGAATCCAATCCAAGCCGGCGCCGAATGCGGATCTAGCAGTGACGCCTTCGAGAAGAAGCGCCGCGCCTCAGCCACCTTTGAGACTGAAAGGTAGTACACTCCGATTGCCAAGTATGTGTAAGGCTCCTCGGGCGAATGATCCGCGAGCATGTGAGAGAGCAAGAATAGGGCATTCGTGGCACCGGTCTCGTAAAGGCAAGCTAAGTGAAGCGGATAAATAGCTGGAGCATGGCCAAGGTTGTTCTGTGTCGGAATGCTGGGATTTGTGGACAGGTCGGTTGACTGAGATGTGGAGAGGATAGAAGATGTCAGTTCTAGAGCTTCTGCAAACCGACATTGCGTATACAGAGCTTCGGCCCGGGACAAAAGAATGTCGGGATTCTCTGCAAGATTATAATGTGTGGATAGGGTTTCGGTGGCATCGGATAATATGGTGGGGGAGGAGTATTTTGATAGCCGGGTTGTGTAGAGCATCTTCGTGAAATGGGCGGCTTCTTGTGCCATCATCGGATCGGGGGATGAGACGGAATCAAAGTCCAATGATTCAAGGAATTCCAATTCTTCCGTGGGAGACATGAGCGAGTTCTTCATGAGCTGATCAAATGCTTCAAAACACTGCACGTCAATCCGCACGGCATCCTTGTAGCAATCTCGGGCACGATCAAATGCATTCTGCTTAGCGAAGCAGAGCCCCCGTAAATAACACATGGCGGCTTCAAACCGTACATTGTTGGCATCTTCGCGTTCTCTCTCCTCGGCTCGATCACTGCGCGGTGTCGCACTCTTCCCATTGCGCAGTGTAACATGGCTTTGGTGTTGGATTTTGCGCCGGGTGTGGTTATTGCGGATCAGGTCTGTGGGGTTGTGTTCACCGAGAATGGAGAGGGCTTGTTCGAATTGATTCTGTTTTATGTAGCAGTGCGCAGCAAGGTAGCGGCAGGCAGTGCTTCGAGAAACGAGATCTTTGCGGGAGAGGAGGGCTAGGGCGCGTGTGAAGTTGTTATTGGAAAAGTGTACCTGGGCTAGCCAAAACGCGTCGGAGTCACTGTCTTCACAAGCAAGTCAGTATATCAGTATATTCGTAGTGCTTATAGCCCTTACTAGTAAGTGCCAGGACTTTGTCCCCAATGTAGATTGCGGAATCATGCTGGCCACGGTTCAACGCGTCCTGTCGCCAGGAGCGCAGGAACCTTTCCATATTGACAGAGAAGATGTGTTAAAGAATGGATTCAAAGAGAGAACAGACATGGATATTTCTGTTAGAACCCGGAGATATGCCCAAGCAATGCGAGTCGCAGGCAACTTTCACATGAGCGGGTCCTTGCCCTATTTTGAACCAAACAGTGGTCCGTGCGTGCCTGTGATGGCGGAAGGTTAACTATACATGTATGTACAATAATGTAGGTAGAGTGTTCGCCTAGAGAATATGTATTGGGTTAAGAAAGGGGCTGAATTACTATTAAAGCCTCAAAATGATGGTAACTGGAAGACCTCGCCAGACATTTCCAGTATCATAGCAGTTTTTGTCTTCTATTATGTAGAGGTCATGTGATGCTTCTACTATGGGTGAAATCATACCAAGCGTGAATATGCTTCTCATAGGTACTTCTATACCAATTGTATAGAATCAATCATACTTATTTTTACATATTAGAACTGTTAGTCATGTTTTAGCTGGTGAGGGTTGGGGAAATGAACGTGATACGTTATGTCTTTGTACCTTTTGTATAGTATACTCATATAAAAAGTACCTAAGTTCAAAATCTTGTTGGCGCGCGTAGCTCCACTTCGGGGATTTCTGTTATCGTCATCCACACGTGACTTTCACCCTTATCGCCATCTGAAGCATCGGACTTAAGCGGCGATAACCGAGCTGATTGATCACGTGGCGATAACGATGCCCCCCGATAATGCCAGAGCTTCTCTTGCGAAGGTTTGTTTCTTTCCCATACTTCCCATCGCCATCAAAATCCATCATGGCTGAGCGAAAGGTTCTTTCAAAGTATTACCCCCCAGATTTTGACCCTTCGGCCATCGAAGGCTCCTCCAAGCGCTCTCGCAAGGATGGCAAATCATCCAAGCTGTCCCCTGTCCGCCTGATGACACCCTACTCGATGAAATGCACTCACTGCGGCGAGTACATTCCCAAGGGTCGCAAGTTCAATGCGCGCAAGGAGACTCTCGACGAAAGATACTTGTCGATTCCAATCTTCCGGTTCTACATCCGTTGCACTCGCTGCAGCGGTGAGATCACTTTCCGTACCGACCCCAAGAGTAAGTTTGAGACCATCCTGCTACCACTTCGCTATATACAAACTAACATTTATTATTAGACAACGACTACAAGTGCGAACGCGGCGCAAAGCGCAACTTCGCAGTTTGGCGTGACGATGAGGACGAGAAGTACAACGACGAGACCGAGGCGCAGACCCTCAACCGACTCGAGAAGGAACACGGCGCCAAGGAGGAGCAACTGGAACGTGACAAGATGGCTGCACTCGAAGACAAGATGCTTGACTCCAAGCGCGAGATGCAAATTGCCGACGCACTCGACGAAATCCGAACCCGCAATGCCCGCATCGAGCGCACCGAGGCCCGTGGCGACGAGGCTGCCGTCGCTACTGTTCAGGAGAAGATCGACGAGGAGGCTCTTCGAGCGGCGAGAGAGGAAGCCGAGGACAGAGAGAACCTGCGTCAGGAGTTCAGACGCAAGAAGGCTGCCGCGATGGCTGCTAAAGCGGAGCAGGAATTCCGTGAAGCTGAGGCGGCTATGGGGCGTAAAAGTGAGCTTGGAGGGTACTGGGCGAAGTTTGCCCGCCCTAAGAAGGACAAGGACGCGTCCTTGGCTAAGAAATGATCTTCTAGCTTCGACGAACAACCCGGAGATAGCGACCGTGTCGTGGGGACCCACGTTGCACAAAGGTCTCTTCTCCAATCAATGAAATGAATTATGATAATGTCTTAATTGTCTCCTTTGTAGCTACAATTAGTCCCGATTGGACTAGTCAACTTAGGGGCACACGTACGGAGTAGTCATGATTCATCACTCTCACAGCTC